CCCCCCCCCCCCCCCCCCCCCCCCACAACAACGTGATGCGCTGATTATTCGATTGGGTAATGTTTTCCGCTACACGCACCGGAGTTGCCTTGATGATCACCTCCTAGCTTCTTGTTCGCATGGATGCACGTCGTGTGCACTTGTCGAAGAACCATTGATAAAATCACCTCGTTCAGAGGAGCTGGAAAATCCCCTCGACTATTTAGCTCTGCCTGTGTGTTCCACCCGCAAACAAAGGCAACATTGTTTTTTTAAGAGTCGATGTTGAAGTCTAACACACCAGGTAAAAACCAACCACAGCAGCCATCCCTCGGTGAGGGACACCATTTTTAAGGACCATCTCCCGGTTGAAGGACAACTCTTTTTTCGCAGGCATGGTAGATCGCAAAATGCACAACATAAGGAGGGATACCAACCTTAACGACACTTCCTCGGCTTAAGGGCAGAGCCTGTTAAAACGCAAAACCATGTGTGTCCTTATTCGAGGGACGACTGTTCTCTCAACCGCGATTAGGTTTTCAATGACATGGGCTTTTCTCGCAACATCAGTACTACTATGAAGGACACTCAGATTATTGAAAGGAAACACTCGGCGGGCAATGAGCGAATTCAGACCAAACTCGCGTCCCCTATCCCCTGTTGCAGGAACGCCTCATCCCGACCCCGGCGCAGTCGACCACCTCCACGGTCGCGAGCGGGCGCTTGTCCTGCCCGGCGCCAATGAAGAGGAGCGACTCCAGGTGCACGGCTCGCTCCACCACCTCCACCATCGGCAGCGTGCGATTGTCCGGTCGCTACATGCCGGTGGGATCGAAGGACGACCCCGCGTCCACTTTCCCGACTCAGTTCGCCACCTCCTCTTCCACGAGCACCGCGCGCTCTCCCGGCCGGAGCGGTCGTACCGCGACAGGGTTCAGGCCGAGAGAGAGCTCCGGAAGCGGAAGCTACGACGGGGGCGTAGAACATCAGCGGCAGCAGCAGCAGCGGCAGGTGTCGCTTTCGTCGCTGCCCTCGACGCCCCCGCCTCCGGGGAGGCAAGTCACCGAGGAGGACCAGAACGGCGACGGGCGCGGCAGCGGCGGCGGCGAAAACGGAAGCAGCGCCCGGTCCTACAGCGACGGCCCCGTTGCCCACCACCAGCGGAGCGACCATGGCAGCGGCAACCTCCTCCATCACCTCCACCACGAGCCGCCGCCGCCGCCGCAGCAGCAGCAGCAGCAGCAGGCCGCGGTCTCCCCGGTCACGTCCATCGGGGTAGGCGGAGGGAGGTCGTCGCCGCCGCCGACATTCCGCGCCCGGCACGACGTTACCGGGGCGGTGGGCAGGCGGGAGCAGCGGTGCTACCCCCAACGCCCACGGCCGGTGGCGGGGACAACAACGGCGACCAACATGGTTACGGGGAGCTTGCGTGCCTCTGGTCCGCACCCCGGCGGCGGCGGGGGCGGGGGAGGGGGGAGGCATATGAGAGCCGACTCCGCCACGTCCGCCATCAGCGCCGCCGGCATCGACTTCCAGCCGTTCTCGTCGCCGCCATCGGGTACGCCGCTATCGGGTACGGCGGACGGCCGCGACGATGACGGCAACACGACGGACTCGGGCACCATGAGCGAATTCAGCGGCCTTGCCACGGTACGAGGCAAGAGGTGTACATGCGGCGCCGAAGAGAAAGTGGGGGGGGAGGGGGGGAATATTGTCTTACTGTATTTTCTGTTTTGTTTGTTTGTTTACACATGTATTTGTTGCTGAGAGTGGTGGTGTACACTCCTGTTCTGTTCGCGCTTTTCGTGGGGTAAACTACCGCCCAGCCTAGCTATTTCTTGCCCCCTCCCCCCCCCACACACACACTTGGTCAATGGTCTAGCAACTAAAGCATGCAAGACATGAGTACGTCCGCCTGCCCTCCTTGGCTGAGATCGTTCTTAGGTTGCAAATACCTTAGAAGTGCAAGCTGTCGCCCACCACCTAGACTATCTTTCAAAGCGCGATTGCCCCCAGAAACAAACAGGGCGCGAAACTCGTCCGAAGCGTGGCAAGGAAAGACAGCTGGCTAGCCCTCTCTACGAGAGATCTTTCTGGCGTAAGCCTTATCGGCGTCGGCAGCCTCTGGGGTTGTGGAGAAAAATGACCGTTGGGTTGTTGAGGAAAGTTGGAAGTCGGTCTAGGTGGTGGCGGGTGATCGCTTTCACGTGTGCAGCGTATTGTCCGTTGCACTACAACCTTGTTTTCGCATGTAGACGTTGTTCTTCGGCACGCCCCCCCCCCGTCAATGGTCTTACGTTACTGCAGGCGTTGGCATGAGTACACCCCCTCCATCCATTTTCTCCTTTGTTCCTTGTGCGCGGGATGAACGTACAGGATCATGATAAACATGCCGTGAGTGACTATAGCTACGCGACCGGTGTCAGCGGCGCGACGAGAACAAACAGTGGGGGCACTCATCACTTTGACCACCACAGCAGCAAGTGCAAGAACAAGACCGGCGGCAACACGAGCCCCATAAGCGTCTTGGGCTCGTCGCTGGCGAGACAGCAAGGTGCGTGTCGTCTGCTCTGTGTGGTACTGTACCATCGCGGTGTGGTCTGGATGGTGTTGGTACAGAGTAGAGAGGGAGAGAGAGAGCGACAGCTAGACGGAGAGGGTTGATGTTGGTATGCATAGAGAGAAATCGACGGCCTTCACAAGGGTTTCGACGGCGGAGGGAGGATGTGTGGGACAATAGCAGCAGTACGTTATTTTTCGCCATTTATTTTTCGCTGCCTTTTTCGGGGATTCATATTATTAATCAGTTTCGGCAGGTCCTTCGACCTGGCACAACTTGCTTCAAAATTTTAATATTGTATGAACGTGCGCGCAAATAATGAAAGCTGTCGTTAATAGCCTTCTTTTAGTATGTAGTGCGTTGCGAGAATAGAATAGAAATGGTGCAGGAGATACTTATCAAATTGCCCTGCAGGCCGTCGATGAGTGATTTCCATTAGCAATGCACACGCGCCGACCTCCCCCCCCTGCTCCGTCCTCTCGAGGACGCGTGGTCAATGGTCTAACCGCTAAGGCATGCCAATCACGAGTACGCCCTGCCCCCTCCGCGTACCGTCGAACGCCTCGTTTCCCGTGGTACTCCCATTTGAACCGTCCAATGAGCAGCTTCCGACAACGAGGCGACGGTTCCACCGCACCTCCGTGCGGAAGAAAGCGCCCCCTTTGCAGAAATGCCTCCTCACTCCCTCCTCTCCTCTACGTCTTCTTCCCGGAAGGCGGAAGTCAAGGTTAGTTATTATCTCCGATACATGTTCATCTTTTGTTCTTTCGACTTGTCGTCCAAACCCGCCAAAAACTGATTCACAAAAACCAAACACATGCCTTTTTTGGGGGGGGTAAGTTAGCTTGTGACCACGGGAATCGACCGCGTCAAGTGTTTGGTCGGTACGGACAGATGAAGGTGCCGGGTAGAGAGATCGGAACGGTTGTTAACGTGAAGACAACATATGCATATACATACAACCAAATAGAGTCTTGTACCCGTTCGAGATGACACCACAGCAGTCGAGGGGGAGCATGTGTTCAAATCTCAGTGTTTGCAGTGAGAAATGGGAGAAAACCGACGGGATGCTGGGCCTTTTTTGAGTCTGTTCATTGAAGCTAAGCCTACCCACCTTTTTTTTTGGTTGAAGTTGCAGCGAGTGGGAGAAACACCGACGGGATACTGAGCTCATCGTGAGTCTATAGTTAAACCTGTACACTTTTGCTGGTGATCATTGTCGTTGCTGTTGTTCGGCATTTTTTATTGTGTTGCCGATGGGCGCCCACGCGCAGGTGGTGCCTGCCAGCCACGCGAGCGCCAGAAGGATGCGGGAGACCCAATCGGCGGTGAGGAGCAACGGTGTCCGTGGTCAACCGCAACGCCACGACCACGACGATCACGACCATCCCGTCGCGAGGAGCTCGGACAGCTGCGTCACCCGCGCGGCGTCTGCTGCCGCTGTTGCCGCCGGTGCAGCCGCTGCTAGAAGGATGGAGGCGTGAGGGGGGGGNGGGGGGGGGGGGGGGGGGGGGGGGGGGGGGATCCTCATCAAGGTAGTCCCGGTGCCGCCGCTGCATTTGTAGATGGGTGGGGATGGGAGGAGTTGTGGGAGTAGTCATCGTAACCCGGCGCTACTGCTGCTGCTGCTGCTGCTGCTGCTGCTACAAGAAGGATGGAGGCGTGAGGGGGGGGAATCCTTAACAAGGTAGTCCCGGTGCTGCCGCTGCTATTGTGGAAGGATGCAAGCGTGAGGGGTGGGAGTGGGGGGGGAGATACTCGTGGACCTCCGAAACTCCACTGCCAGAAGGATGGAGGCGTGCGGAGNGGGGGGGGGGGGGCGTGTTCATCGTAGCCCCTGTGCTGCCGCTGCTAGAAGGTTGGACGCAGCAAGAGTGGGGATACTCATCGTCACCAAGGGGTTCGGCTGCTATAAGAATGGAGGTGTGAGGGGTGGGGGGCGGGGGAGTTCTGGCCGTAACCCGGGGGCTCCGCTGCTAGAAATATGAAAGCGAAAGGAGGGGGAGGGAGGGGGGCGACTTGAGAAAACGCCGCTCAGCTGAGAGCAAGCACACCACAATAAACATACCACCGTCATCGTCTTGAGGGTGTGTGGGCGGGGCTGGAAGGAGACGGGGGGCAGCGCGGGGGATCGTGGAAGGAGTGTTGAAATGCGGCATTGCCCTAACCCAACGTAATCGGCAAGTCATGGGAGTAACAGAGACTAGGCGGGGAGGGAGAGTACCGCCCTCCCATACCTACTCGACATCCCTGGCCATGCTCCGGTGCTAGGTGCTACGATCTCTTAAACTCTCTGTTTCAAGCCGTGCCTCTTGGCAAAAGTTGTTCCGTGTTCGGAAGCGTTGTAACTCTACGTATGTGGTATGCGTTCGGTGGGGCTCGCAACTGTAGCTCTCAGGCGACGAGCGCTAACAACGTTCTCGTGCGTGCCATGTGTTAATGAATTTGTGTATGTCGTGTGACGGGCTCACAACCGTTTAGATCATCCTCGTCTCTGTCACGTGGGATGCGCTGCTGCTTCACCCGAGTTTTCATGTGTGAGTGTCTGGTGTGTCTTTTATGTTACGTTGGCGTGGGCAAATCCGACCTCCATCCGATGTTGATTTATGTGTGGTCCCTCTCGACCATTTATTCCTAGCAGTAAACCAGGCACATAGATACGGTTTTCTCGAGGGTGATGGTCCCGAAGAAAAAAAACATCGGCAAATGTATGAGTTTCTTGGTTTAGTTATTCTTTTTCGTTTCCCTGTTCAGGTGGCGACATGTGGTGGTGCAATGAGTTCGTTTGGTCCTTGAAGGGAACGAAGGATTTGGTTTCACACACAGTGTAAGCTGCGGTGGTTGACGACGATATGTAGCGGTGCGGTTAGGTCGTTCTGTTCTTGAAGGGACAAGAAGGATTTGTTTGACGGTAGACGATTGGTTGAGATTTTTTTATTGCCACCCTCGTACTATAGAGAAGGCGACGGTCTGGTAAGAGCCCGGTTTGAGATGATGCAGGCGTTTTTCTTCCTTGCTTCAAGAAAATACGAAAAATAAAACGATCCTTGGTACCTCTAACCGCCTCGGACCAGGAATCGTGTCGCCAACTCATGGCGATCGCATTTAGCCTCAGGGGTATGTTGTTCGCCCTTTTCTCTACTTGTTGGTGGGGGTGCGACACGTCTGCGTCAAAGCTAATAAATACCTTGGGGGCTTGGACCGGCCGGCGGTCGTGGACCCACAGATGGTGTTCTTTTGTGGATGACTGGCTGGATTAATTCATGCAGCTTGTTCTGGGTCTTGTGTGTTTTTTTTTTGTGTGTGTTTGCTGTTGTTGTTCACACCTGCAAAAAACCGGTGTACTCTTACCATTTCCAATGAATTGCCAAGAGACCAGGGCAGTACCACCGATCGTGACGGCACGTTTTTCCCGTGGATCATAACAGGCCCCGGGGTAAGAAGTGTACCATGTATCCTGGTGATGGTTTCTTCTTTCTTTTCGTTGCTCTTTGAAGCCGTGGGATGTAGTCTAGTATAGCATTTTTTTTCCGTCCGCTGTTGAGGGTGGGAGAAACCTGCTAGATGCGAGGGAGATGAACCGGCAGCCACGAACTAACACCGCGGCTGCCAGTAGGAATGGGATGGAGATGAGATGATACGAGACGGGACCATGGGATGATGCGGGACGGGATGACGAGATGATACGGGACGGAAGGAAGAGGCCCGGTGGATGGTGTCGTACAAAGTAGAGGCGTCCCCAGTCGTTTGTGGCAGGGATGGGGGGGTACGGTTGTCGCAGCGCTACCCAATTGACTTGAGACACCATCAACGGAGAGCGGAGGGCGCTTTTGCAAGGGCCTAATCCGATTTTAATCTTAAGCTCCTCTGAACTTCGGAGGCGGGCGCGTGTGTGCTGTGTATTCTTGTGAGATGTATTGCCTGGAGTTGTTCTTATCCTAACAGCTAAGGCGAAACGCTCTCGTTCGTTCGTGACTGCAGTAGTACTTTGGTCCACGTTGGTCGTGCTTGTGGCTGTTGCTTCTTTGGGCTCGCCTTCGGGGTGTTCATTGTTCATTCGGGCTGAGAATGATATTGCGGCAGTAATAATGAAACGAGTTTGCTTCGCGTGCCTGAGCTTTACTTAAAACCTGGAGTGTGATGATGATGATGATGATGATGTCGATTATCTACTTTTTTATCAGCGTTTCGAGCATTTGCGAGTTTTGCATGTATGTTAGGTTGGCCTGCGTTCCCCGGACTGGCCGCCGGGGGGATGGAATTACGGCATCCCCGTGCATGCAGAGAGAAACAAAGGCGACCGAAGGCCGCAGGTGGTTTTGATTCCGACACCCTGTAGGGCGTTGGAAACTTCTCACGGAACATCTATCCACCAACGAGATGTTGATTTTTTTTTTTTACTATCGGCCGGTGCCCGGAAATGTGTTTACTTGTTTCGAAAGGTAAACACCGGTAACAGCATAGTAGACGTTGTTGGCTCTAATCAAGAATTATCGTGTCGTCGATATCTATTTGCCTAAGAAGCAGGCGGCGGTGGTGGTATGTGCGTGTGTGTACCACGTGTGCGTGTTTTATGTTCTCACTCAAGCTTGTTGTCGGTCGCTCTGTGTTGTTGTAAGGACCAGCAGCGCAGCGAGGAGAATGTCCATCCATTCGTGTTTGGTATATACCACTCGTCATATGTCTTCACGTAAACTCGTTGCCTTGCGCGTTGCATTGATATACCTCACTGATTGATCGTTTGTTTTCATCTCTGGTCTCTTGTCTGATGTCTCTTTCTCGGCAAGCTAGCTGCGCGCTCTGGTTGGGATGGCCATGGCATCCTTGCCATTGGGTTCTAGGTGTTGTTCAACGATGATACATAATTGTCTATTGTAGTTATATTTTGCCGCCGTTCAGAAGCGCACCTGTTTTTCTGTCGCGTCGCGAAACCGCAGAGCATCATTGGTTGTTGTTCTTTCCGTTGTCTCTCTTTTTGTCGCTGTCACAGGCATTGCCTTGGCTAGCGCGTCTCGTCCTGTATGGACCTGTGCAAAATGTATGATATCCTATTGGTACTCTTCATATTATACATGCATAGTCCACGTTGACGCCACCGAGAAAAACAAGAAGCTGAGCGAAGTGTATCTCGTATTATTGATCTACGTATTGTTGATTTGATGGTTCAGTAGGTTATCCCCATCCAAGCTTTTCCAAGTTTTCGTGCGTCAAGTGTGGAACCCGTATTCGGCCCGGGGCTCGTTTCGTAATATCTGTGCGGGGCGTAGTACCCAACACCGACTTCAGGAGATTTCGACATAGGATTCTTAATTCTTGGATGAGCGCCGGCTCCTCAGGAGGGTAAAAATTAGAGTGCTTACATGTTGAGTTTTTTCATTGCCACAACTGCCAGTGTCTGCAGCCGTGAGTCAACCAGTGGTTGTCACCCACTGCATCCAAGAATACCGATGAGGGAAAGGCTTGCTGAACATCTTTCGCTGTCAAAACCGAGGCCTCACGTTGAAACGCGTAAGAAGAAGCCATCCCTCTGTGTAATCCCCGTGTGCTGCTTGTCGGTCCTGCAAGGTGTGAATACCCAGGACAGGATTCCTTCCAGAAATTGAACGGGTGGAACAAAACGGGCGCGTGTGTGTGAATGCTCCCTGTCCATCCTCCTCGTATAGATAAATTCGTTGTAATACGTGAAATGGCAGTACAGACATATCATCACATAGCGAGGGCTGCGGTTCCATCGAGCGTGCGATTGCTACATGTATGATTGGCATCGATCGACTGAGGCCGCGGTGACACGAACCAACACCTCACCTTCGTGAATGACATGGCAGTGGGTGCAGCAACAAAATCAAACATGAGTTGGTTCCGAAAGGCGACTAACTCGATCCATGAGCACCCACCGCAGTTACTTCATATCTGAAAAATAATTACCACGTGTATTCGTGGGAAGGAGGATGAAGAGGGAAAACAAAAAATGGGTCCGTGAACAAGAGGACGTGAACAAGAAGACCTGAACACCAAACCGATGACTCCCCCCCTCCCCGTCAGCGGCCAGAACATCTACAGTCGGCATTCCACAGAATGCACCGATAAGGTTTGTCCACGGAAATTGATTGCTTTGCCTTGGGTATCATGGAGGATAACTTGATGGGGAATTTTCTTCTCGAAGGCAGCAGCAGTAGCAGCAGCAGCAACAATGACGACGACAACGATAGCAATCACAGAATGTGGCGTCTTGCAGCAGCGGAGGTGGCGGTGCCGCTGTAGCTCGTAGACTTTGTAGTCTACCACAGAGGTTACACTGCTGTCACCGCTCTATCACAGAGGTTGGTCTACACTGCTGTGAAATCGGTAGGCCCGAGCGAGCTTTGGAAAGAGAAATGCAGATAGATGTTCTTATCAACTGACTCCCTGGTCAGGCTTTGATGGGTGCTAGATGAGAGTGAGCACAAGGGGCGAAGGCGCGCTTGTGTCTCATCTCAACAACAAAACAAAAACAAAAAACAAGCAGCAAAAACACAGCAGGTTCCGAGGGTCTCCGGAGTAATGGCCCGAGTACCGGAATTTCGGGGTTCGGAACAATAAAACAACTACAGTCTCGCCTGCCAACATATCTCCGCTACAACTCTGTGCTCATGTTCTCTGCTGAGTACCATCTCTTCTTTCTGTATTATGTCTACGGAAGGCTAGTTGCCGCAGTCGCACCTATGGAAAACTGTGCCTGACTACGTTGTAACAGTTTTCCTCGACACGACCCCTCGATGAGGCAAGTAGCCGATGTTCCAAAACTTCACTTCGCTGCCATTTTTGCGACCCCTCGATTCCCAATCCACATCAAAGAATATCGACCTCCACATGAGTTAATCCATCCTGTGAGCAATACACGCGTCCAAAACATTCAACCATACTATGCGATCTTGTGCTTAATATCTTCTAGCACTTGTAGTCCTTGATGAGTTGCATGGTGGTGGCGAATCGCTGCTTCGGGAGATGTTTCGTCGCGATGTCCGCCAACATCGTGGCACTAGGTTGGTGGTGAAGAGTGATCCGGTGCCCCTTCGTGAGTTCCCTGAGGAAGAAGAACCGGAGCGCGATGTGCTTGGTTCTAGAGCTGAACATCGCGTTGCTGGCCACAGTCAATGCTCCGGTGCTGTCGCTGTTGATGGGTACCGATCGAAAGGTCTTGAATCCGATTTCCGTCATGAAGTTGGAGATGTAGACTGCCTCGCGAGCACTGAAGCTCAGCGCTTGAAGTTCGGCCTCCACGGTGTTCTGTGCTGCGAGAGTCTGTGCCTTGGCTCCGTAGCTGATCAGTCCCCCTCCTAGGAAGAACAGGTATCCGGTGGTAGACCTGCCGTTGTCTGGGTTGGCTCCAAATGACGAGTCAGTGAAGCACGAGAGTCTGAACTGCCCCTTCTTGTACACGATCGGCAGGTCCGGCGTTCCGCGTAGGTACCGTAGTAGGTGCTTGGCCGCAGCCATGTGGACCTGTGCTGGGTTTGCGCATGCCCGTGTCAGTTGGTGCACTGCGTATGACATATCGTAGCGGGTGCACTGGGCAAGGTACAGGAGACTCCCGGTGATGGCCTGGAATCTCTGCTTGTCCTCGGGTCCGAGTAGTTGGTCTTGTGGCTGCTCGGTTGATAGTTCTGCTCCATACCCGGGGGTGCTGACCGGGTTTGCCTGTTCCATTCCGTATCGCTGTAGGATATCTCTCGCGTAGGGTCCTTGCGATATGGCTAGTGTGCCATGTTCGTAGTCCCGCTGCACTTCGATGCCGATTACGCGCTTGACCTCTCCCATGTCTGTCATTTCGAAGCTGTCCATGAGTTCCTTCTTTTTCCTGCTTACGATCTCCTTGTTTCCGCCCGTGATGAGGATGTCATCGACGTAGATCGCGAGGATTGTGAGCTCGTCCCCGCTTACGAAGATGTAGACACAGGGGTCAGAGCGAGTGCACTGCCAGCCGAAGATGATGAGTCTGTCATTGATGGCGTCGTTCCACAGTGACGGGGACTGTGACAGGCCGTACAGACTTTTCTCCAGTTTGTAGACCATCATTTCACCTGTCGTAGGGTCCCTCTCCTCGTCGCCTGGCGCCGGCCTGACGTAGACGTCTCTGTCGGTGTACGCGTTCAGGAATGCAGCTACCACGTCCAATTGGTACACCTCCCATCCGTGTTCGCAAGCGATGGCGAATAACATGCGGATGCTACCCAATCGGGTTACTGGAGCGTAGTTCTCTCCGTAGTGTCGTCCTGCCCGTTGGCGGTGTCCCCCCGCGACTAAGCGGGCCTTGAAGCGGCTGTCGGCCTTGATCTTGAACACGAAGCGTGTGTCGAAGATGTCCTCATCCTTCGGTACCAGGCTGATGCGTACTTTCTTAAAGACTTTGTGCTTGGCGAGATTACCCATCTCGGTGTCGATAGCGCTTTTCCACTGCTCGCGTTGTGGTGAGTTCATGGCTTCGGTGTACGTGCTCGGAGTTTTGATCTCTTGGTTTGTCTCCCCCAAGAACCCTTTGCTCGAGGTGCCCGTGGCGTAAGCATACGCCCGGACTTCGGCGAAGGGGTCTTCATCCAGGTGAGCAAATCCGCCGCGTCAGTAGGGCATCGTAGCTGCTCTTGGTGGGTGAGATCGAGTAGTTGATCCACGGTGAGCTCCAGTGGGTCGGGGTGGCTGACAGCCATGG